CAGCCGACCTTTGTGATATACATGATACCATGCAATCAGTCGACCTTATTGCCTGAAGAAGACTAGCAGTGAGCAGTCAAAATGTTGCGATCTACATCTCAAGTGACTACATCGTGAGACAAACGATAATAAACTCTATTAATACAGTTTATGTAGTAAACAGAGGTACCTACCCCACCCCTTACCACAATGCTAATTAATTAATTGAAATTAATTAATTAAACAAACATTAAATTTTGCACCTTATTGTGTTACAGCATTAGTGCCTGCTAATTAATTGAAATTAATTAATTAAACAAACATTAAATTTTACACCTTATTGTGTTATAGCTTTAGTGCCTGACTGAACAGCAGCCCCCTAAACCATCCCAATAGTGCACTCTGCACTAAAAATCAGCAATCATAATAATTTCAAATGACGTTTCAATGACTCATTCATCATTTTCTAAAAGTCAGATTCCTAGGAGTTCTTTAGATACTAGGAATGCGTGTGAAAGTCTTGTTGCATGTGGTCACAAACTCTACAATGTGGAATGTAGAGAGTATTAATTAAGTACTAAATAGTTCTCTCTACATTCCACATTGTATAGTTTTTAATCACATGCAACGAGACTTTCACACATCTTCTTAGTATCTAAAGATCTCATAGGAATCTGACTTTTAGAAAATGATGAACAAGTCATTGAAATGTCATTCAGAATTGAAGGCTTTCGTGCAAAGAGGGTGCCGGATCTAGCTAATTTTTGGCAGACTGACTTGATTTGACCAGAAAAGCATCTTTGCATTTTTTTTTTGTTGATTTGCACTTTGTTTTCGAGAAATAACGTATGCAAAAAACTCAGTTTTCCAAGGATATCTTTTGGAGATCTTTTGTTGAACGAAAAACTAAAGAAACCTTTTGTTTTGCTAAAGGATGAAGTCACTTAAGCGTGGCATTTGCTGCTAGTACATGTAAATGTTTAGTACCATATATCTTTTTTTTTCTTTAAGTACAATTTTATGAATAGTTGTATTTTATATGTAAATGCTGATCGCCAGTTAATACCAGTGATCCAGTGATAACTGATTGGCCTTTCAGGTTAAATAAAGTCTTTTATTTAGTTTTATTATTCATATAATTACCCTATTCTCTTACTGTTGCTTCGTTAGTGCAAGCGAATAAGGCGCTGAACAGGCCGGATTCAAGTTTGTTTTCTCGTGACACCAGTTCGTTACAGGGGCGGTCGATTTTTTTTCCAGTCTATTTCTCTACTTCTTTCATAAAAGAAAAACATCTATTTTCTTTTAAAACCTTGCTGTCGAAGCTGCTAAAAGTAACCGTTTAAGTTCGCGTCGCGTCAAAATCCACCTTCGAAGGATTCTCTCCAAAAGATGCCGCTTGGACAACTGATTTTTTTGCATACATTAGTTCTTGAAAACAAAGCACAAATCAACAACAACATCAAAAACGTTCTCATTTTGTGGTCAATCACGCGTGTAAAAACAGAAGAGAAAGCCAAATGAGAAAAGAGTTTTGTTGGCATTGGAGGCACTAGATTGAGGTTTGACATTTATTTTGTTAAAAGACAAGTTTTTAGTGGCTTTAACACAGTGCTAGGGATGGAATTCATTGAATGTGATGAAGCTTGTGATTGGTAACTGTTGCAAGTGGAAGCCTGTAATACTTGGTGAAGTTTCCCGCAGATTTAAGCTCAGAATTTTTTCTGATTAAGGGTGCGGACCATCATCAACGTTTTGAACCTTTGCGGTAGTTTGGGTTTTTCGTTCATGATTTCAAAGTGATAAAATTAAAACAATCAAACTTAAACTTGGCATATTTTGCAAATGTTTCGCTTTAAAATGAAGCCTTGAAATAGTGCATGTATTTATTCATACTTCCCTGCTCAATAAGCTCGCCAGTTTTATATC